CAACCCCCCCAAACCCCACCCCTGCTGCTGGGAGCCAACTGGGAGTCACGGCCCCTTCCCAGTGCTCCCAGTACTGCCCCTCGCAGTCTCCAGTGCCCTCCACCAGTGCTCCCAGTGCCTCCCACCAGTGCTCCCAGTACCCCCCCAGCATCCCCCCAGTGCTCCCAGTATCCACCCTTGGAGACCCTCAATGACCCTTGGGGACCCCTGGTGACCTCCGGTGACCCTTGGGGGACCCTTGATGACCCCTGGGGACATTGGGGGACCCTGGGTAACCCCTGGTGACCCTTGGGGACAGTTGGGAACCCCTGATGACCCCTGGTGACCCTGGGGAACCTCTGATGACCCCTGGTGACACTTGGGGACCCCTGGTGACCCCTGGTGACCCTGGGGGACCCCTAATGACCCCTGGTGACATTGGGTGACCCTGGTGATCCCTGGTGACATTGGGTGACCCTGGTGACCCTGGGGGACCCCTGATGACCCCTGGTGACATCGGGTGACTCTTTATGACCCCTGGTGACCCTGGGGGACCCCTGATGACCCCTGGTGACATTGGGGGACCCTGGTGACACTGGGTGACCCTGGTGACCCTGGTGGACCCCTGATGACCCCTGGTGACACTGGGTGACCCTGGTGACCCTGGGGGACCCCTAATGACCCCTGGTGACATTGGGTGACTCCTGATGACCCCTGGTGACATTGGGTGACTCCTGATGACCCCTGGTGACCCTGGGGGACCCCTGATGACCCCCAGTGACATTGGGTGACCCTGGTGACCCCTGGTGACCCTGGGGGACCCCTGATGACCCCTGGTGACACTGGGTGACCCCGGGGACAGCGGGGGGGTTACCGTGGGGCGCGGGGGGGGCTCGGCCTCGCTCTCCTTGGGCAGGTGAAAGCGGAGGGTGAGGGGCACCGGCCCCGCTGGTGGCCCCGCCGGTGGCCCCGCTGGTGGCCCCACGGTGACATTGGGGGGTGGCCCCGGTGGTGGCCCCGGTGGTGGCCCCGGTGGTGGCCCTGGCAGGCTCTTCCCAAGCGCCAACTCCAGGCTCTTCCTCTGCGCCGGGAGGAAGAGGAGGCGTTTAGGGGACACTGGGGGAGGGGACACTGGGGGAGGGGGACACTGAGGGAGGGGGTGGGGAGGGGTGGCCCCTCCTCCCGGGGGTCTGTCCTGTCACAGCCCCCCCACCCACTCCCTGTGGGATGTCCCTGCTGGGCCCTCCCCGGGTGACAAGGGGGTCCCCAAAGTCACCTGGGGATGGGGAGGGGGCTGAGGTGACCCCAAAGTCACCTGGGATGGGGAGGGCTGGAGGTGTCCCCGAGGTCACCTGGTGGGGGGGGTCCCCAAAGTCACCCAAAGGAATTGGGGGGGGGGTGTCCCCAAGAGCTTGGGGGTGTCCCCAAGGTCACCTGAGCAGGAGTTGGAGATGTCCCCAAGGTGCCCCAGAAAGGGGCCGGGGATGTCCCCAAGGTCACCTGAAGGGAGTGGGGGTGTCCCCAAGGTGCCACGTAGGGGCTGGAGAGGTCCCCAAGGGTCCAGGGTGTCCCCAAGGGGTCCAGGGTGTCCCCAAGGGGTCCGGGGTTACCCCTGCCCTGGGGGGGTGCTCGGGATGTCCCTCAGGTCTGGGTGTCCCCATCCCCCCAGGGAGTGTCCCCAGGGTTGGGGGTGACACCAGGGGTGGCCCCTGACACTGGGTGTCCCCACCATGGGGGGGTGGGGGTGACCCCCCAGCCAGGGGGTTTGGGGACTCTGGGTCTGTCCCCAACAGGTCCTGATCCCAACACTGTCCCCTGGGTGTCCCCAACACTGTCCCCTGGGTGTCACCCAAGGGTCTCTCCCCGCTCACCCACTCTGGGTGGGGGTTTGACCCTGCCTGGGATGGCCCCTGTGCCCTCTGTCCCCCTGATGTCCCCCTGATGTCCCCGCTGTGCCCCCCGTGTCCCCTTTGCCAGCTCTCCCCCGTGTCCCCCCCGTGTCCTCAGTGTCCCCAGTGTCTTCCCCCCCAGTGTCCCCAGTGTCCCCTCACCGGGTCCCTGTCGGGGGAGCCGGGTCTGGAGCCGGGCAGGCCGTTCTTGGTGGGGGTCTTGGCCTCTTTCCGGGGCACCTGGACCCTCTTGAGGTCCAGCCGGTCGTGGGTCACCCACTCGTCCAGGCGCTTGTTGACTGGGGACAGGGGGGGGACACGGCTGGGCCGAGGGGACAGGGGCACCCCTCTGTGTCCCCTCCCCCCCACAGCCCCCTCTGTGTCCCCCTGTGTCCCCTCTGTGTCCCCTCCCCACAGCCCCTCTGTGTCCCCTCTGTGTCCCTGTCCCCACTTGGGACACTCTGGGGGTCCACAGAGTGACAGGAGGGTGGCACTGTCCCCTCTGTGTCCCTGTCCCCCAGTTGGGGACACTCTGGGGGGTCACACAGGGTGACAGGGGGGTGGCACTGTCCCCTCTGTGTCCCCTCTGTGTCCCCTCTGTGTCCCTGTCCCCCACTTGGGGACACTCTGGGGTCCACAGGGTGACCTCGGTCATTGTCCCCTCTGTGTCCCCTCTGTGTCCCCTCTGTGTCCCTGTCCCCCACTTGGGGACATTCTGGGGGGGTCACACAGGGTGACAGGGGAGTGGCACTGTCCCCTCTGTGTCCCCTCTGTGTCCCTGTCCCCCACTTGGGGACACTCTGGGGGGTCACACAGGGTGACAGGAGGGTGGCATTGTCCCCTCTGTGTCCCTGTCCCCCACTTGGGGACATTCTGGGGGTCACACAGGGTGACAGGAGGGTGGCACTGTCCCCTTTGTGTCCCCTCTGTGTCCCTGTCCCCCACTTGGGGACACTCTGGGGGGGTCACATAGGGTGACAGGAGGGTGGCACTGTCCCCTCTGTGTCCCTGTCCCCCACTTGGGGACACTCTGGGGGGGTCACACAGAGTGACAGGAGGGTGGCACTGTCCCCTCTGTGTCCCTGTCCCCCACTTGGGGACACTCTGAGGGGGTCACACAGGGTGACAGGGGGTGGCACTGTCCCCTCTGTGTCTCCTCTGTGTCCCTGTCTCCCCCACTTGGGGACCCCCAGGGGTGTTGCCCGCTGTCCCCGTGTCCCCCCGTCCCGTGTCCCCCTGTCCCCCATGTCCCCCTGTCCCTGTGTCCCCCTGTCCCCCGTGTCCCCCTGTCCCCCGTGTCCCCTGTCCCCACTCACAGTCGATGTAGTGCACATAGAAGAGTTTCCTCCCACTGATGTCCTTCACGCTCAGGATTTCGGCCAGAGCTGGGCGGGGGGAGTTTGGGGTCACCACCCTCTTTTGGGACCCCTCCTGCCCCCCACAGCCCACGGACCCCCCAAACTGCCCTGGGACCCTCCAACCCCCAGGGACCCCCAACCCTCCCCGTGTCCCCAAATGACCCCCTGTGTCCTCAACCCTCCCCAGGGACCCCCAACTCTCCCCATGTCCCCAAAATCCCCCTGTGTCCCCAACTCCTACAGGGACCCCAACCCTCCCCGTGTCCCCAAATGACCCCCTGTGTCCCCAACCCCCAGGGACCCCCAACTCTCCCCATGTCCCCAGATGACCCCCTGTGTCTCCAACTCCCCTGGGGACCCCCCACCGACCCCCTTGGGACCCCAGCTACCCCCTGCCCTCAGGCCACGCCCCTTCATCAGACCACGCCCACATACCAAAACCACGCCCCTTTCCCAAGAAGAAAACCCCGCCCTCCCCTGAGGCCACGCCCCCACAAACCCTGCCCACACCTTTCACCCGGTTCCCGCCCCTTCCCTCAGGCCACGCCCCCCCGCTCAAGCCCCGCCCCCCGCTCACGCCACTCATCCTCGTTGTCCTGGTTCCGCCGCAGCACCGGGAGGCGGCAGCCCTCGGACACCTCCCCCTGCGGGGCGGGGCCGCGTCAGCGCCGGGAAGGGAAAACCCCGAAACCCGCTCCGGGGAGGGCTCTGGGGTTCCCAAACCCTCCCGGGTCCCCCAAAGCCCCTCAAATCCCCCACCCTCCCCTTTTCCCCTTCCCCTTCCCCACCTCCGCCATGGCCGCGGCCTCCACTTCCGGGATGCGGCCACGCCCACTTCCGGGTTTTATCTCTCTACCAGCGGGACACGCCCCCTTCTCATTTGCATGGGGGAGTGGGCGGGGCCTTCCCGGCAGCCGCGGTCACGTGGGGCCCGCGGCGCTTCCGCGAGCGGCGCGAGCGCGACCCTCCCCACCCCAAAACCGCCCCTCCCCACCCGGGACCCCCTCCCGGGACCCCCGACATGGAGGACGGTGAGTGTCCCTCCCCCGGCTCGCTTTGGGGGCTCTCGGAGGTCCTGGGTTAAGGGGAGGGTAAGGGAAGGGGCGGGGATTTTGGGAGGGGGAGTTGGGAGACCCCCACCCCGTTAATGCGACCCCCTCATAACGCGGCCCCTCGTGACGCGACCTCCTCTTAAGGAGAGCCCCCTCCTTAATGAGACCCCCTAAATGTGACGCTTCCATAACAAAAACCCCCACTTGTCTCCAGTGGCCCCTTTAATGAGACTCCCCCCTTAATGAGACCCCCCCCTTAATGAGACCCCCTTTAATGAGACTGCCCCTAAATGCGACCCCTCCCTTAACCAGACCCTCCTTTATCCCCAGTGACCCCCCAAAAATGACCCCCAAATGCGACCCCCTCTAACGAGACCCCTCCTTTTCCCCCGTAACCCCCTTAGTGAGACACCCCCTTAATTGAGACCTCCCCTTAATTAGACCCCTCTTTAACAGAGACCCCCAAAAATGCGACCGTCCCTTAATTAAACCATCCTTTTAACGAGACTCTCCCTTAATGAGACCTCCCAATAACACCCCCATTTCCCCCAGTGACCTCCCCGGATCTCCTGCCCTTCCTCCTGCAGGACTGGGGTGCCTCAGGTGAGTTTGGGGTCCCCATGGGTGGGTGGGGGTGGGTTCTGGGGATCCCGGACCCTCTGGGTGTGTGTGGGGGGGTTTTGGGGGGGGGGGGTCTCAGAGCCCCCCCCTGGCCCCCCCAGAGGTGGGGGGGGGAGCCCCGTTCGTGGAGATCCTGGAGCAGCCGAAGCAGCGCGGGATGAGGTTCCGCTACAAGTGCGAGGGGCGTTCGGCCGGGAGCATCCCCGGGGAGCACAGCTCGGAGACCACCCGCACCCACCCCACCATCCGCGTGAGTGCCCTCCAGTACAGACCAGTACAGACCAGTACAGACCAGTATGAATGCCTGTAAACCAGTACAGAACAGTATAGAGCAGTACGGATCATTCTGAGCCCCCCCGGTGTCCCCATCCCCGGGGAGCACAGCTCGGAGACCACCCGCACCCACCCCACCATCCGCGTGAGTGTTGGACCAGTACGGACCAGTGTAAACCAGTACAGACCAGTATGGATCCCTGTAAACCAGTACAGAACAGTACAGACCATCCTGACCCCATCCTGACCCCATCCTGAGCCCCCCAAGTGTCCCCATCCCCGGGGAGCACAGCTGGGAGACCACCCGCACCCACCCCACCATCCGCGTGAGTGCTCACCAGTATAAACCAGTATAAACCATTATGGATCAGTACAAACCAGTATAGAGCAGTACGGACCACCCTGACCCCGCCCTGAGCCCCCCCGGTGTCCCCATCCCCGGAGAGCACAGCTCGGAGACCACCCGCACCCACCCCACCATCCGCGTGAGTGTTGGACCAGTACAGACCAGTATAAACCAGTATGGACCCCTGTAAACCAGTATAGAGCAGTACAGACCATCCTGAGCCCACCCTGACCCCACCCTGAGCCCCCCAAGTGTTCCCATCCCCGGGGAGCACAGCTGGGAGACCACCCGCACCCACCCCACCATCCGCGTGAGTGCCCACCACTACAGACCAGTGTAAACCAGTACAGACCAGTATGGACCCCTGTAAACCAGTACAGAACAGTACAGACCATCCTGACCCCATCCTGAGCCCCCCCAGTGTCCCCATCCCCGGGGAGCACAGCTCGGAGACCACCCGCACCCACCCCACCATCCGCGTGAGTGCCCACCACTACAGACCAGTACAGACCAGTATGGACCCCTGTAAACCAGTATAGAGCAGTACAGACCACCCTGACCCCGCCCTGAGCCCCCTTGGTGTCCCCATCCCCGGGGAGCACAGCTGGGAGACCACCCCACCATCCGCGTGAGTGCCGCCCAGTATAAACCAGTATGGATGCCTGTAAACTAGTACAGAACAGTACAGACCAGTATGGACCCCTGTAAACCAGTATAGAGCAGTACAGACCATTATAGAGCAGTACGGACCACCCTGAGCCCCCCCGGTGTCCCCATCCCTGGGGGGGCACAGCTGGGAGACCACCCGCACCCACCCCACCATCCGCGTGAGTGTTGGACCAGTACAGACCAGTATAAACCAGTATAGAACAGTACAGAAAAGTATGGACCACCTTGACCCCACCCTGAGGCCCCCAGTGCCCCCCCACCCTTGGGGGTTCAGCCCCCTACCCACCCCACCATCCCCCAGAGCCTCCCAGTGTGTCTCAGTCCGTCCCAGTGTGTCCCAGTCTATCCCAGTGTGCCCAGTGTCCCAGTGTGTCCCAGTCCGTCCCAGTCCATCCCAGTGTGTCCCAGTCCTTCCCAGTCCATCCCAGTGTGTCCCATTGTGTCCCAGTGTGCCCAGTTTGTCCCAGTCCTTCCTAGTGTGTCCCAGTCCGTCCCACTCCATCCCATTGTGTCCCAGTGTGCCCAGTGTGTCTCAGTCCATCCCCGTGTGTCCCAGTCCATCCCAGTGTGTCCCAGTCCATCCCAGTCCATCCCAGTGTGCCCAGTGTGTCCCAGTCCATCCCAGTCCATCCCAGTCCATCCCAGTGTGTCCCAGTCCATCCCAGTCCATCCCAGCATGTCCCAGTCCGTCCCAGTCCATCCCAGTCCGTCCCAGTGTGCCCAGTGTGTCCCAGTCCATCCCAGTCCATCCCAGTCCATCCCAGTCCATCCCAGTGTGTCCCAGTCCATCCCAGTCCATCCCAGCATGTCCCAGTCCGTCCCAGTCCGTCCCAGTCCATCCCAGTCCATCCCAGTCCATCCCAGTGTGTCCCAGTCTGTCCCAGTCCGTTCCAGTTTGTCTTAGTCCATCCCAGTCCATCCCAGTCCATCCCAGCATGTCCCAGTCCGTCCCAGTCCGTCCCAGTCCGTCCCAGTGCTCCCAGTATAACCGGTGTCCCCGCAGGTGAACAATTACCGTGGCCCGGCGCGTGTTCGGGTGTCGTTGGTGACCAAGGACCCCCCTCACCGCCCCCACCCCCACGAGCTGGTGGGCAAGGACTGCCGGGACGGCTTCTACGAGGCCGAGCTGCCCCCCGAGCGCAGCGTGCACAGGTGGGACCCCAGACCCAAAATAAGGGACCCCAGACCCAAAATGTGCTGTCCCCCGAGCGCAGCGTGCACAGGTGGGACCCCAGACCCAAATCATAGAGACCCCAGACCCAAATCACAGAGACCCCAGACCCAAAATGTGCTGCCCCCGGAGCGCAGCGTGCACAGGTGGGACCCCAGACCCAAATCAGGGACCCCAGACCCAAATCAGGGACCCCAGACCCAAAATGTGCTGCCCCGAGCGCAGCGTGCACAGGTGGGACCCCAGACCCAAAATAGGGGACCCCAGACCCAAATCACAGAGACCCCAGACCCAAAATAAGGGACCCCAAAATGAGAGACCCCCAGCCCGGAATAGGGGGAGGGATCCCCCCCACCCTTGGACTTCTGCGACCCCCCCAAATCTCGGGGTCCCTATCCTGGTATCTGGGGTGACCCCCTGACCCCCGGGGTGACCCCCTGACCCCCAGGGTGACCCCCTGACCCCGTGACCCCCCGATTTTGGGGCAGTTTCCAGAATTTGGGGATCCAGTGCGTGAAGAAGCGGGAGCTGGAGGCGGCCGTGGCCGAGCGGATCCGCACCAACAACAACCCCTTCAACGGTACTGGGGGCACTGGGAGGGCACTGGGAGGAGATTGGGAGGCACTGGGCGGCACTGGGAGGCATTGGAAGGGGATTGGGAGGGACTGGAGGGGACTGAGGGGGGATTGGGAGACGCTGGGAGGGACTGGAGGGGACTGGGAGACACTGGGAGGGGATTGGGAAGGATTAGGGGGGCACTTGGTTATACTGGTTTATACTGGGCAGTGCCAGTGGAGCGGGGGGTGTGAATACGGCCTTGGGGGGGTTGTGGGGGTTTCTTGCAGGTGTTACTGGTTCATACTGGTTTATACTGGTTCACAATGGATTATACTGGTTTATGTTGATTCATACTGGTTCCTACTGGTTCATACTGGTCTGTACTGGGCAGTGCCAGCGGAGCAGAGGGGGGGTGAATACGACCTGGCCGCCGTCCGGCTCTGCTTCCAGGTGTGGGTGAGGGGCCCGGGGGGGCTGCGGCCCCTCCCCCCCGTCCTGTCCCAGCCCATCTACGACAACCGTGAGTGGGGACCCCCCGGGACCCCCCGGGACCCCCTGAGACCCTGAGACCCCACAGGACCCCCTGAGACCTCCCCGGGACCCCCTGAGACCACCCGGGACCCCCTGAGACCCCCTGACACCCTCTTGAGACCCCCTGAGACCCCCAGGACCCCCTGAGACCTCTCCGGGACCCCCTGAGACCTCCCAGAACCCTCCCTGAGACCCCCTCAGAGACCCCCCTGAGACCCCCTGATCCCCTGAGACCTCCTCAGAACCCTCCTTGAGACCCCTCCCTGAAACCCCCAGGACCCCCTGGACCCCAGTGCCCCCTGACCCCTGATGATCCCCCCAATGTCCCCCGTGCCCCTGCTGACCCCCATGACCCTCAATGTCCCCTGACCCCTGATGACCCCCAATGTCCCCCCATGCCCCCTGCTGACCCCCATGCCCCTCAATGTCCCCTGACCCCTGATGACCCCCAATGTCCCCCATGCCCCCTGCTGACCCCCATGCCCCTCAATGTCCCCCGACCCCTGATGACCCCCAATGTCCCCCATGCCCCCTGCTGACCCCCATGACCCTCAATGTCCCCTGACCCCGGATGACCCCCAATGTCCCCTGACCCCTGTGGCCCCCAATGTCCCCCAGGCGCCCCCAGCACGGCCGAGCTGCGGATCTGCCGCGTCAACCGCAACTCCGGGAGCTGCCGGGGAGGGGACGAGATCTTCCTGCTCTGCGACAAAGTCCAGAAAGGTGAGGGACCCCCAAACCCCTGGGGACACCCCCAAAACTACAGGGACACCCCAGAGCCTGGGGACACCCCTAGGACACCCCCAAAACTACAGGGACACCCCCAAAACTACAGGGACACCCCCAGAGCCTGGGGACACCCCCAAAACCCCAGGGACACCCACAAACCCCTGGGGACTTCCCCAAACCCCTGGGGACACCCTCAAAACCACAGGGACACCCCCCAAAACCCCAGGGACACCCCCAGAGCCTGGGGACACCCCCAAAACCACAGGGACACCCACAAACCCTTGGGGACTCCCCAAACCCCTGGGGACATCCCCAAAACTCTGGGGACACCCCAGGGACACCTCTAAACCCCAGGGATGCCCCCAAACCCCTGGGGACGCTCTGGGGACATCTCCAAACCCCTTTTTCCTCCCAAACCCCTAGATGCCCCTGGACCCCCAAACCCCTGACTCCCTCAAACCCCTGGTTCCCCCCAGACTTCTGGTTCCCCCTGGACACCCCAAACCCCCTGACTCCCCCTGGACCCTCCAAACCCCCTGACTCCCCCCAAACCCCTGGGTGCCCCCGCAGAGGACATCGAGGGGTGTTTCTGGGCCGAGGGCTGGGAGGCCAAGGGGACCCTCTGGATCCCCCAAACCCCTGGATCCCCCAAACCTCCCTGACTCCCCCGACCCTAAATCACCCCCTGACCCCGAATCACCCCTGGTGCCCCCACAGAGGACATCGAGGTGCGTTTCTGGGCCGAGGGCTGGGAGGCCAAGGGGACCTCCTGGATCCCCCAAACCCCCTGACTCCCCCCAAACCCCTGACCCCCCTGACCTCAAATCACCCCCCTGACCCCAAATCACCCCCTGCTGCTCCCCAGAGGACATCAAGGTGCGTTTCTGGGCCGAGGGCTGGGAGGCCAAGGGGACCCCTGGATCCCCCAAACCCTTGAATCCCCCCAGCCTCCTAACCCCCCCAAACCCCTGACCCCCCCTGACCCTAAATCACCCCCTGACCCCGAATCACCCCCTGCTGCTTCCCCAGAGGACATCGAGGTGCGTTTCTGGGCCGAGGGCTGGGAGGCCGAGGGGACCTCCTGGATCCCCCAAACCCTTGAATCCCCCAAAGCCCTGACTGCCTCCCATCCCCCCTGACCCCAAATCACCCCCTGACCCCGAATCACCCCCTGACCCCGAATCACCCCCTGCTGCTTCCCCAGAGGACATCGAGGTGCGTTTCTGGGCCGAGGGCTGGGAGGCCAAGGGCTCCTTCGCGCAGGCCGACGTTCACCGCCAGGTCGCCATCGTGTTCCGCACCCCCCCGTTCCGGGACCCCTCCCTGCGCCAGCCCGTCACCGTCCGCATGGAGCTGCAGCGGCCCTCGGACCGCCAGAGGAGTGCCCCCGTGGACTTCAGATACCTCCCCCACCAGGGTGGGTCTGGAGAAGGGTCCTGGGGGGGTTATTGGGGGGTTATGGGGGTTTATGGGGTCATTATTGTGGGTCTGGGGTCCCTGGAGCTGCAGCAGCCCTCGGACCGCCAGAGGAGCGCCCCCGTGGACTTCAGATCCCTCCCCCACCAGGGTGGGTCTGGGGGGCTGTGGGGGGGTTATTGGGGGGCTGTGGGGTCCTTGTTGTGGGTCTGGGGTCCCGTTGGGTCCCTATTATCACCTTGGGGGCCTCCTGTGTGTGCCCCCTGGAGTCACTGGGGTGTTACTGGGGGTAATTGGGTGTCACTGGGAGGTGACTGACTGGGAGGCGACAGCTGTCACTGTGAGGTGACTGTGGGGTCCCTGGGAGTGAGGGGTGTCACTGGGAGTGAGGGGTGTCACTGGGAGTGACTGGTGTCACTGGAGGTGGCTGTGGTGTCCCTGGTGTCACTGGGAGCGACTGGTGTCATTGGGAGGTGGCTGGTAGGTGACTGGTGTCACTGGGAGTGACTGGTGTCCCTGGGAGGTGGCTGTGGGGTCCCTGGTGTCACTAGGAGATGACAGGTGTTACTGGGAGTGACTGGTGCCACTAGGAGATGACTGGGAGGTAACTGTGGGGTCCCTGGTGTCACTGGGAGTGACTGGTGTCACAGGAGGTGGCTGTGGGGTCCCTGGGGTCCCTGGTGTCCCTGGGAGATGGCTGTGGGGTCCCAGGTGTTACTGGGAGAGAGGGGTGTCACTGGGAGTGAGGGGTGTCACTGGGAGTGACTGGTGTCACTGGGAGGTGGCTGTGGGGTCCCTGGTGTCACTGGGAGTAACTGGTGTCACTGGAGGTGGCTGTGGGGTCCCTGGTGTCCCTGGGAGTGACAGGTGTCACTGGGAGGTGGCTGTGGAGTCTTTGGTGTCCCTGGGAGTGACAGGTGTCACAGGAGGTGGCCATGGGGTCCAAGTGTCCCTGGGAGGTGTCTGTGGGGTCCTGGTGTCACTGGGAGTGACTGGTGTTATTGGGAGGTGGCTGTGGGTCTCTGGTGTCACTGGGAGTGACTGGGAGGTGGCTGTGAGGTCCCTGATATCACTGGGAGTACCGGCTGTCCCTGGGAGGTGGCTGTGGGGTCCCTGGTGTCACTGGGAGTGACTGGTGTCACTGGGAGGTGGCTGTGGGTCTCTGGTGTCACTGGGAGTGACTGGGAGGTGGCTGTGGGGTCCCTGGTATCACTGGGAGTACCGGCTGTCCCTGGGAGGTGGCTGTGGGGTCTCTGGTGTCCCTGGGAGGTGGCTGTGGGGTCCCAGGTGTCCCTGGGAGTGCCAGGTGTCCCTGGTGTCCCAGGTGTCCCTGGGAGGTGGCTGTGGGGTCCCAGGTGTCGCTGGGAGTAACTGGTGTCACTGGAGGTGGCTTTGGGGTCCCTGGTGTCACTGGGAGTGACAGGTGTCACTGGGAGGTGACTGGTGTCACTAGGAGATGACAAGTGTCACAGGAGGTGGCTGTGGGGTCCTGGTGTCCCTGGGAGGTGGCTGTGGGGTCCTGGTGTCACTGGGAGTGACTGGTGTTATTGGGAGGTGGCTGTGGGTCTCTGGTGTCACTGGGAGTGACTGGGAGGTGGCTGTGAGGTCCCTGATATCACTGGGAGTACCGGCTGTCTCTGGGAGGTGGTTGTGGGGTCCCTGGTGTCACTGGGAGTGACTGGTGTCACTGGGAGGTGGCTGTGGGTCTTTGGTGTCACTGGGAGTGACTGGGAGGTAACTGTGGGGTCCCTGGTATCACTGGGAGTACCGGGTGTCCCTGGGAGATGGCTGTGGGGTCCCTGGTGTCACTGGGAGTGACTGGTGTCACTGGGAGGTGGCTGTGGGTCTTTGGTGTCACTGGGAGTGACTGGGAGGTAACTGTGGGGTCCCTGGTATCACTGGGAGTACCGGGTGTCCCTGGGAGATGGCTGTGGGGTCCCTGGTGTCCCAGGTGTCCCTGGGAGGTGGCTGTGGGGTCCAGGTGTCCCCCGGGGTGAGGGTTTTGTCCCCGCTGTCCCCACAGGGGACCTGCAGTGCATCGAGGAGAAGCGCAAGAGGACCCGCGAGACTTTCCGCTCCTTCGTCCAGCGCAGCCCCCTGCCCGGTGGGAGGGCTTGGGGGGGCTTTGGGGGGGTCCTGGGGGATTGGGGTTTGGGGGAGTCTGGGGGAGGCAACGGGAGCTGGAGGGGGACTGGGATCCCCAAGGGGGTATTTTTTGTCCCTGGGGGGATTTGGTGTCTTAGGAGAGGGAGAGTTTGGGGGATTTTGGGGTCCCTTAGGGGAGTATTTGGGGTCCCTGGGGAGTGTTTGGGGTCCCTTGGGGGGGTATTTGGGATTCTTGGGGTCCTTTGGGGGTGCTTGGTATCTTGGGAGGGGGCTGTCGAGGGAGGTATTTTGGGGTCTTAGGGATGTTTGGGGTCCTTTGGAGGTGTTTGGTATCTTGGGGGTCTCAAAGGGGTATTTTGGGGTCCTGGGGGTATTTTGGGTCCCTTGGGGGTGTATTTGGGGTCCCTTGAGGGGTGTTTGGGGTCCCTTTGGGAGGTTGTTTGGTATCTTGAGGGGGGTCTCAGGGGGATGATTTAGGGTCCCTAGGGAGGTCCCTGACTGTGGGACCCCCTCCCACTCCAGCTCCGGCCCCTCCGAGCCCCGACCCCCGACGCATCGCGGTGCCCTCGAGACCCCGGCCCTCAGAACCCCCAGCATCGGTGAGTGAGGGGTGGGGAGGAGGACGAATTTGGGGGCAAGAGAGGATTTTGGGGGAAATGGTGGGGGAGGAGTTGGGGAGGAAATTGGGGGCAAAGAGAGTTAAAGCAGGGGGGAATGGGGAGCAGGGAGGGTAAATGGGGGTGGGGGGCAAGGGGAATATTGGGGAGGGGAAGGGGAAGAATTGAGGGACGAAGTGGGAAATTGGGGGTAAATTGGGTGCAAATGAGGCAAGGGGGGAATTGGGGAGGGGGCAAATGAAAGGGATTGGGGGGCAGAGGAGGAGACAGGAGAAGACCAAGGGGGGTGGAGAAGGGAGGGCACAATCTGGGGGGGAAAATTGGGAGTCAGAAAGGGGGGGATGAGTCAACTCAAGGTGGGGGGAGGGACGGTCAAACCCCTCCCTCACCCCTTTTCCTCTCCAGCCCCCTTTCTCATTCGTGGCCTCGGGGGGCTGTTGGGGGTCCACGGCCCCCTGAGCCGGAGCCTTTGGCCGAGGCGCTGCTGCAGCTGCAGTTCGAGGAGGGGAGGGGCAGGGGGTGGGGGTCTCTGCGCCCCCGCCCCTCCCCTCGCCCCTCCCTCCCCAGCTGGATTTCGGGGCCCTCCTGGGGACCCCCGCTCTTCCCCCTCGACGCCCTCAATGCCGCCGACGTCCAGCGGCTCCTGGAGGGGAGGGACCCCGAGCTGCCCCTCCCACCCCGCCCCTCCCCCATGCTGATGACGTACCCCGAGTCCATCGCGCGCCTCGTGCAGAGCCAGCCCGCCCCTCCCCACCGGGGTCCCCCAGTTCCTCCTGGGGGCGCGGGGAGGGGCGGCCCTCGAGCTGGGCGGGGAGGGGCCGAGCTGGTGGGGGGTTGGGGGTCCCGAGGACTCCCTGCCCTCACTGGGGGAGCTGGACCTGAACGCCCTGCTGGGCCAGTTCCCCTCCTCCTAACTGGGATGGACTGGGGTGGACTGGGACGGGGAACTGAAGCTGCTGGGAGGGGCTGGGGGCTACTGGGAGTGGGCTAGGAGGGACTGGGAATGCACTGGGAGGGACTGGGGGCTGCTAGGAGGGGGCTAGGGGGACTGGGAGTGCACTGGGAGGGACTGGGGGCTGCTGGGAGTCACTGGGAGACTTTTATGGGGGGTGCTGGGGTGTTACTTGAGGTTTTCTGGGGCTACTGGGAGGCTCGTAGGGGGCACTGGGAATCTTTTGGGACCTACTGGGAGTCAGTGGGAGGCTTTTAGGGGGAGCTGGAGTGTTACTGGGAGGGGGGTTGGGGCTGTTGGGAGGTTTCTAGGGCTTACTGGGGTTTACTGGGACGCTCGTGCGGGTCACTGGGAGGCTTGTAGGGGGTACTGGGGATTACTGGGAGATCTCTGTGGTTACTGGGAGCCACTGGGAGGTTCCTGGGGGTTACTGGGACACGGGTGGGGGGGACTGGGAATCGTGAGCGGTTACTGGGAGCCACTGGGAGGTTCCTGGGAGTTACTGGGAGGCAGCCAGGTGGCTACTGGGGGATCACTGGAAGCCGCTGGGGGTCACTGGGAGTGACTGAGAAGCCCCTCATGGGATCACTGGGAGGGTCCCCCCTTGGCCCTCTCCGGGCACAAGCAGCCAATGGGAGTCCAGCAGTCCCTCCCCCACCAGCATTAACCCCGCCCCCCCACTCAAAGTGCCTTTTTTAGGTGGGGGAGGGGCAGCCCCGCCCCTCTCCCCGCCCCTCCCCCACCCCAATAAACGGTCCAAGGCCCGGCTGAGCTTTGATTGACAGCGCGGAGGGGCGGGGCCAAGGGAGGGGGCGTGGTTTTATGGAAGGGGCGTGGCCCTGTGGGGACGGGGAAGGCTGAAATGTTCTGTGGTGGGCGTGGCTTTTGAGGAGCGTGGGTTTGTGTGGGGGCGTGTCCTTTAGGGGGCGTGGTCTCCCATGGGCATATTTTTTTCGGGGGGGGGGTGTGATATTTAATTGGAGGCGCGGCTTTTTAATTGCGCGAGGGTGTGGCTTTTTGGGGGCGTGGCTTTTTGCGAATTAAAAAAAGCGCAGCCAATTAATCACGGAGCGACGCGAAAAAGGCGAAAGGGGCGGGGTCTGAGAAGGGGTGGGATTTAGTGTTTAAAAGAAGGCATGGTTATGCAAATTAGATCAAAGAAGGACGAGAAGGGCACGATGGGAACGTTATTTTCGGGGTATCTCGTGGATTTTGGGGATTGGGGTGAGCGGAGCGAGTGCGGGAGGTGCGGGATGAGCGGGGCAAAAACACGAGTGGGGGACAAGAAGGGCGTGAGGGCTCAATAAAGGTCACCGTGAGGTGCGTGGGGGGCGATTGGGGCCCGTGCAGGACCGTGTGGGATGCAAAGTTATCGCTTCTCGGCCTTTTGGCTAAGATCAAGTGTAGTATCTGTTCTTATCAGTTTAATATCTGATACGTCCTCGATGAGAGGACTTTATATTAAACGGATTTTTGGGCGCGGGAGTTGGACCCGGAGCTTGCTCCCTCCGCTCCGCGCATCGTCCCGGTATTGCAGTGCCTCCGGGAACGGTGCACCCCCTCCGCGGGGACCTTGTAGTGGTCAAAAATAGATTAAACTCTCCACTTGAAATCCAAACCTTAACAAGATTATGTTTAAATTAATTCTATTCCTGTTCTGAAGGTGTTTTGAGGTCCTGCCGTGGTTCCCCTGAGGCACCGCCGCTCGGCCCTTCCCGTCCCCCCATTCCCCTGGGTATTTCGCGTTAATTAGGGGATAGTTAGGATTTTACGAGTGGAATTTTAATACAATTCCGTGATATTTTATCGTGATCTTGGCCGATCTGAGGGAAGGTTTGGGTGGGTTTTGGGGGGCGGTCTGATTGGGTTTTGAGGGATTCCGATGGTTCTTTGCCCCCCGCAGGATCGCGGTTCTCCTCCCCCCCGCTGAAAGAGACTGAAAGCTTAAAAATCAAATCTAAACCTTGATTAAAAACCTTTTAGATCTCCCCTTTTCTGTCCCGAAGCTGTCCCGGGGTCTTACCTCGGTCCCCCTGAGGCGCCGCCACCGCCGCTCGACCCTTCCCGTCCCCCCATTCCCGTGGATATTTCGCGTTAATTAGGGGATAAGTCCGTTAGGATTTTCCCGACTTTACAGTGGAATTTCGATGCGATTCCGCGATATTTTATCGTCGTCTTGGCGGATCCGGGGGAGGTTTTGGGGAGCGGTCCGCTTGGATTTTGAGGGATCTTGATGGCTCTTTGCCCCCCGCAGGATCGCGGTTCTCCTTCCCCCGCCGAACACCACCTTTTAGTGGCAGATCCGCGTCAAAAAACATTTATTATAATTAACCCAAACCTTTAATTTAGGCAGGAAGCGGCGGAATCGCGGCCTTCGAAGCCGTTTCGGCCTCGGCCCGAGCGGCGAAGGCGCCGCCATTTTGCGGCGCCCCGTGAGGGGAGGGGGGGGGCAGAGGCGGCGGCGCCTCAGGGGGGACCCCGGCGGGACCCCCAGACACCTTCGGGACAGAAATGGGGAGATCTAAAAGGTTTTAATCAAGGTTTAGATGTGATTTTAAAAGCTTTCAGTCTCTTTCAGCGGGGGGGAGGAGAACCGCGATCCTGCGGGGGGCAAAGAGCCGTCAGAATCCCTCAAAATCCAAGCGGACCGCTCCCCAAAACCTCCCCCGGGTCCGCCAAGATCACGATAAAATATCGCGGAATCGCATCAAAATTCCACTCCAAACTCGGGAAAATCTTACCCGAATCACCCCCAAATCCACGCGGAATACCCACGGGAGGGGAAGGAGCGGGGCGGGAAGGGCCGAGCGGCGGCAGCGCCTCAGAAGGAACTCGGTGGGACCCTGAACTATCTTCAGAATTAAGTGGTGAGACTTCAGAATTTTTTTTGTAGGATTAGGAATAACTTAAGGAATTTTTAATCTGTTTTTAACCACGCCAAGGTCCCCGCGGAGGGGGTGCACCGTTCCCGGAGGCACTGCAATACCGGGACGATGCGCGGAGCGGAGGGAGCAAGCTCCGGGTCCAACTCCCGCGCCCAAAAATCCGTTTAATATAAAGTCCTCTCATCGAGGACATATCAGATATTAAACTGATAAGAACAGATACTACACTTGATCTTAGCCAAAAGGCCGAGAAGCGATAACTCTGTATCCCACACGGCCCCAACCGGCCCCCCAATCGCCCCCCACGGACCTCACGGTGACTCCTCAAGGACCCTCACACCTTCCTTAATCTCCGCACAAAATCTCGCCCCAATTATTCCGCACCTGCTGCCCGCGTGTCTCTCATTCAATTCCCTAAAATCCCGAGATACCCCTAAAATAACGCTCCCATCGCGCCCTTCTCGTCCTTCTTTGATCTAATTTGCATGACCACACCTCTCTATTTGCATCCACCCCTTGCCGCCGTTTTCCCGCCCGTTACCCCAGGGTGGGGTTGGGGAGGGGGGAACCCCCGAGGGCTTTTTTGGGGTCCTCCCCGCCCCCCCCCTCCCCCAGCACATCTCGACTCTCGCGCTGATGCGATTTAAAAATCGCTATTTTTGTCAAAACCGCGAGGTTCGGGTTTTTTTTAGTCTTTTTTATTTTGCGAGGGTGCAACGGGACCACCAAAGGGGCTCGGCCACCCCTCCCGGTGCACTCCCCGTTTTAAGGGGGGGGGGTCGGGTTTTACACCCCGTGTGGGGGTCACGGATAGGGGGTTGAGACCCCCTGCTTTCCCTCCCGTTACCGGCGCCGGAACCTTCGAGGCGCGGAACGAAACCTCGCGGAGAGCCCGTTTAGCCCCGGAACGGCCTCGCCGCTCTCCCGGTTTCCCACCCGGGGCTGTGGGGAGTGACGGACCGCGAAGATGGCGGCGCCCACGCGAGTGAACCACGTGTGGGTGGGGGCCGAGACCGGCGCCTTTAAAGGTGTTTTGGGGGGTCTGGGGGGGCTCGGAGGGGTTTTGGATGCTCAGGGGGTCTGGGGGCTCAGAGGGGGTTTGGATGCTCAGGGGTCTGGGGAGCTCCTGGAGCCTCCGGGAGGTCCTGAGGGGGTCCAGGTTATCCAGGAGGTGCCACCCTGGGGAGGGTCCAGGAGGCCTGAGGGGACTCGAGGGGTCCTGGGGGGACCTGGGGTGTCCAACCCCCCAACCCCCAAATTCTGCCTCCCAGGTGTGAACCTGCAGAAAAAGTGGCCACCAACGTCGTGGGGGTCGGGGCTGAGCCGGGGCCGGGGGTCTGCGCTCTGTGCTGGGGGACACCGCCCAGACCGAGGTGAGTCGGGGGTCCCGGTGTGGGGGAGTCCTGAGTCCCCAACACCCCCTCCTGAGCCCCCCAAATTCCCCCAGGTGCCTCGTGGGGTCCCTGGATCGCTCCGTGAGGGTCTTCAACACCGAGAAGGGGAAATTCGTGGGGTCCTGGCTGTGCCTGGGGGACGGGCCCTTCTGCGGCCTGGGGTCTTGGGCAGGTATTTGGGGAGGGGGAGGGAGGGGGCTGAGGGAGGGTCCAGGGGAAATTTTGGGGGTCTGGGAGGGGTCCTGGATGGAGTTCGGGTGGGTCCAGAAGGGCCTGGGAGGATTTGGAGGAATTTAGGGGAGGGAGTTCTTGGGGGTCCAGGGTGTTCTTGAGGGGTCTGGGGGCACTTGGGGTCCAAGAGGGCTCTGGGGGGTCCCAGAGGCTTTTGGAGGGCCTGAGGGTCTTAGGGGGTCTGGGGGTCCTGGAGGAACCTGGGGAGGTCCTGAGGAGCTTTTTGGGGTGTCTGGGGGAGGTTCTGGGCTGTTCTGGGGGGTCTTGGGTGGGAGGGGGGGCTGGGGGCTGAAGGGTCCCCAAAACCCTCAAACCCCCAAACCCCCTCAAATCCCCCCAGCTCCATCGTGACGTGTGTGGAGTCGGGCTGATCCAGCTGTGGGGGAGGACGAGGCTGAGAAGGTGAATTTGGGGGTTTGGGGGTCCTGGGGCTGTTTTTGGGGTACAGGGGGCTCTGTGGGGCCATTTTTGGGGTGCAGGGGGGGCTCTGTGTGTTGGATTTGGGGGTGAATCCCCCTCCCCCCCCCAATTCCAGCCCCACGTGGAGCTCCCAGCCAGGACCTGGATTTGGGGGTTCTTGGGGGGTTTTTTGGAGGGGGGGGCTCTGGAGGTTTTTGGGGTTCAGGGGGGTCTGTAGGTTTTTGGGATGACCCCCCCATGTCCCCCTCAATTGCCAGAGGTCCCAGCAGGCCCAGGTTGTGCTGGTTGGGCCAAGACTGGGATTTTGGGGGGGGTTGGGATTTTGGGGGGTTTTGGGGTATTTATGAGGTTTTTGGGGTTCAGGGGGGTCTGTAGGGTTTTGGGGTGACCCCCAATCACCCCCCCAAATCACAGCCCCACCTGGAGGTGTCGGCAGGCCCCGGTTTGTACTGGGGGGAGGTTGGGATTTTGGGGGGTGTTTATGAGGTTTTTGGGGTTCAGGGGGGTCTGTAGAGTTTTGGGGTGACCCCCCCATGTCCCCCCTGATCACAGCCCCATCTGGAGGTGTCAGCAGGCCCCGGGCTGTGCCGGGGGGGGAGATTGGGATTTTGGGGTGGTTAATGGGTATTTGGGGTTTGGGGGTGCAGGAGTTGTTCAGGGGGGTCTGTAGGGTTTTGGGGTGACCCCCAATGACCCCCCCAAATCACAGCCCCACCTGGAGGTGTCAGCAGGCCCCGGGCTGTGCCAGGGGTGGGGTTGGGATTTTGGGGGGGTTTGGGATTTTGGGGGGTTTTAGGGTATCTATGAGGTTTTTGGGGTTCAGGGGGGTGTGTAGGGTTTTGGAGTGACCCCAAATGACCCCCCCAAATCGCAGCCCCACCTGGAGGTGTCAGCAGGCCCCGGGTTGTGCCAGGATTTTGGGGGGTTTTGGGGGGTGTCTATGAGGTTTTTGGGGTTCAGGGGGGTCTGTAGGGTTTTGGGGTGACCCCCAATGACCCCCCCAAATCACAGCCCCATCTGGAGGTGTCGGCAGGCCCTGGATGCACCGGTGGGGGAGGTTGGGATTTTGGGGAGTTTTGAGGGGTATCTATGAGGTTTTTGGGGTTCAGGGGGGTCTGTAGGGTTTTGGGGTGACCCCCCCATGTCCCCCCCAAATCGCAGCCCCATCTGGAGGTGTCGGCAGGCCCCGGGTTGTGCCGGGATTTTGGGGGGTTTTGGGGGGTGTCTATGAGGTTTTTGGGGTTCAGGGGGGTCTGTAGGGTTTTGGGGTGACCCCCCCATGTCCCCCCCAAATCACAGCCCCATCTGGAGGTGTCAGCAGGCCCCGGGCTGTGCCGGATGCGCCAGGACCCGACGCGGCCGCACCGGGTGGGGACGGGGGGGAAGGAGAACGGGCTCAAGGTTTGGGACCTGCAGCGCCCGGGGGAGCCCCTTTTCAGGGCCAAGAACGTGAGTGGGACCCCCCTGAATCCCCCTGAGCCCCCCAGTGTCACCCACCCCCCCTTTTCAGGGCCAAGAACGTGAGTGGGACCCCCCTGAACCCCCCCACTGTCACCCACTGCCCCCTGACCCCCCCAGTGTCACCCACCCCTGTTCTGGGCCAAGAGCGCGAGTGGGACCCCTGAACCTCCCCTGACTCCCCAGTGTCACCCACCCCCTTTTCAGGGCCAAGAACGTGAGTGGGACCCCCTGAACCCCCCTGAGCCCCCCCAATGTCATCCCCAACCTGTTCAGGGCCAGGAATGTGAGTGGGACTCCCTGAACCCCCCAGTGTCACCCACTGCCTCCCTAAACCCCCTAATGTCACCCACTGCCCCCTGAACCCCCCAATGTCACCCACCCCCCATCCCGGGCCAAGAACATGAGTGGGACCCCTGAACGCCCCCTTAGCTCCCCAATGTCACCCCAACCTGTTCAGGGCCAGGAATGTGAGTGGGACCCCCTGAACCCCCCAATGTCACCCACTGCCTCCTGAGCCCCCCAGTGTCACCCACTCCCCCATTCCGGGCCAAGAACATGAGTGGGACCCCTGAACTCCCCCCAATGCCACTCACTGCCCCCTGACCCCTCCAGTGTCACCCACCCCCATTCCGGGCCAAGAACGCGAGTGGGACTCCCCTGAGACCCCCCAATGTCACCCACTGCCCCTGAACCCCCAGTGCCACCCACTGCCCCCTGAACCCCTCAGTGTCACCCATCCCCTGTTCTGGGCCAAGAGCATGAGTGGGACCCCTGAACCCCCCAGTGTCACCCACTGCCCCCTGAACCCCCAGTGTCACCCAGTGCCCCTGAACCCCCCAGTGTCACCCACTGCCCCCTGAGCCCCCCAGTGTCACCCACTGCCCCTGAACCCCCCCCATGTCACCTACCCCTGTTCAGGGCCAAGAACGTGAGTGGGACCCCTCTGAACCCCCCCAGTGTCACCCACTGCCCCCTGAACCCCCCAGTGTCACCCACCCCCATTCCGGGCCAAGAACGTGAGTGGGACCCCTGAGCCCCCCAGTGTCACCCACTGCCCTCTGAGCCCCCAGTGTCACCCACCCCCCTTCCAGGCCAAGAACGCGAATGGGACTCCCCAATGTCCCCTGACCTCCCAGCGTCACCCCCCAATCTGTCCCAAGCCAGGAACGTGAGTAGGACCCCTGAACCCTCCTGAGCCCCCAGTGTCACCCAGTGCCCTCGAACCCCCCCAGTGTCACCCCCCAACCCGTTCAGGGCCAAGAACGTAGAGTGGGACCCCCTGAACCCCCTCTGACGTCTCCCACTGTACCCTCCACCCTCCCATTCTGGGCCAAGAACGTGAGTGGGACCCCTGAACTCCCCCTGACGCCCCCACTGTACCCCACCCCTCCCATTCTGGGCCAAGAACATGAGTGGGACCCCCTGAACCCCCCCAGTCACCCACCCCCTTTCCAGGCCAGGAACGTGAGTGGGACCCCTGAGCCCCCTATGTCCCTTGGGGTCCCTCACTCCCTCTGACCCCCCCAAGATCCCCCCTCAATGTCCCCTCATGGTCCTGATCCCCCCCAGTCCTGGATTGTCCCCCCACTGTCCCCCCTCAGAGCCCCCCCTTGTCCCCTGACCCCCTACCCCCAAAATGTCCCCCTGAGCCCCCCAAATGCCTCCTGAATGTCCCCCAACTCCCCAAATGCCCCTCCAACCCCCCCAGGTGAGGAACGATCACTGGACCTGCGGGTGCCGATCTGGGAGCGGGACCTGCAATCCCTGCCGGATCTGACAGGTGGTCACGTGCACGGGGCACGGGCAGGTGAGGGGGCACCTGGGGGTCACCTGGGGGCTCAGCACCTGGGGGTCACACCTGGGGGTCACACCTGGGGTCACGTGCACGGGGCACAGGCAGGTGAGGGGGCACCTGGGGGGTCACACCTGGGGGGATCACCTGTATGGGGCATGGACAGGTGAGGGGGCACCTGGGGGGTCACACCTGGGGGTTCATCTGGGGGGGTCACACCTGGGGAGGTCACACCTGGGGGTCACACCTGGGGGGTCACACCTGGGGGTCTACACCTGGGTCACGTGCACGGGGCACGGGCAGGTGAGGGGGCACCTGGGGGTCACACTTGGGGGATCACCTAGTATGGGGCATGGACAGGTGAGGGGGCACCTGGGGTCACACTTGGGGGTCACACCTGGGGGTCACACCTGGGGGTCACACCTGGGGGGTCACACCTGGGGGTCAGCACCTGGGGGTTCATCTGGGGGTCACGACCTGGGGGTCACACTTGGGGGTCACACCTGGGGGTCACACCTGGGGGGTCACCTGTAGGGACATGGACAGGTGAGGGGACACCTGGGGGGTCACACCTGGGGTGACCGGGGGCACCCTATGGGACAGGGACAGGTGAGGGGTCACACCTGGGGGGGTCACACCTGGGGTCATCTGGGGGGTCACACCTGGGGGTCACACCTGGGGTTCATCTGGGGGGTCACACCTGGGGGGTCACACCTGGGGTCATCTGGGGGTCACACCTGGGGGGTCACACCTGGGGGTTCACCTGGGGGGTCACACCTGGGGGTCACACCTGGGGGGTCACACCTGGGGGTCACACCTGGAGGAGTCACACCTGGGGGTCACACCTGGGGGGTCACACTGGTGGGGGTCACACTGAGGGACAGGGACAGGTGAGGGTCACACCTGGGGGGTCACACCTGAGGGGGTCACACCTGGGGGTCACACCTGGGGGGTCACACCTGGGGGTCACACCTGGTGGGGGCACCTGTAGGGACAGGGACAGGTGAGGGTCACACCTGGGGGTCACACCTAGGGGTCACACCTGGGGGGTCACACTGGGGGTCACACCTGGGGGGTCACACCTGGGGGTCACACCTGGGGGGTCACACCTGGGGGTCACATCTGGGGAGTCACACCTGAGGGGGTCACACCTGGGGGGTCACACCTGGGGGTCACACCTGGGGGGTCACACCTGGGGGGTCACACCTGGGGGGTCACACCTGGGGGGTCACACATGGGGACAGGGACAGGTGAGGGCACACCTGGGGGGTCACACCTGGAGGGGTCACACCTGGGGGTCACACCTGGGGGTCACACCTGGGGGGTCACTTAGGACATGGACAGGTGAGGGGGCACCTGGGGGGTCACACCTGGGGTTCATCTGGGGGGTCACACATGGAGGGGTCACACCTGAGGGGGGTCACACCTGGGGGTCACACCTGGGGGGTCACACCTGGGGGCACTCAGCACATGGACAGGTGAGGTTACACCTGGGGGGTCACACTTGGGGAGGTCACACTGTAGGGGCATGGACAGGTTAGGGGCACCTGGGGGTCACACCTGGGGGTCACACCTGGGGGGGTCACACCTGGAGGGGTCACACCTGGGGGTTCATCTGGGGGTCACACCTGGGGGGTCACACCTGGAGGGGTCACACCTGGGGGTCCTTCTGGGGGTCACACCTGGGGGGTCACACCTGGAGGGGTCACACCTGGGGTTCTTCTGGGGGTCACACCTGGAGGGTCACCTGGGGGTCACACCTGGGGTTCATCTGGGGGTCACACCTTGGGGGTCACACCTGGGGGCATCACCTGTCCAGGTGAGTCAGTGTGGGACAGATGGGGGTGGGTGATGTCACCTGTAGGTGTCACCCGCAGCTCCCCACCCCAGGTGAGCACACTGGGGGTGGGAGGGTGAAAGGGGGTGGTGACCCTGTGCCCTCCCCCCTGCCCCCCACCTGTCCCAGGTGCGCCTCTACGACTCTCGACCCGGCGGCGCCCGGTGCTGACACGACCTCGGGAGGCCCCGCTGACGGCGCTAGCGCTGCCCCGGGACACGTCAGTCGGGGGGCTCTGGGGGCTGGGGGCACAAAGTGCTGGGGGCTGTGGAGTGTTTGGGGGCTCTGGGGGGCACAAAGGGCTCCTGGGGGATACATCAGTGATGGGGGCTTCTGGGGACACATCAGTGCTGGGGGACTGGGGAGTGTTTGGGGGGTCTGGGGGCACAAAGGGCTACTGGGGGATACATCAGTGAGGGGGGACTGGGGAGTGTTTGGGGGTCTGGGGGCACAAAGGGCTACTGGGGGATACATCAGTGAGGGGGGCTCAGGGGGCTGGTGGGGGCACAAAGTGCTCCTGGGGGACACGTCAATGCTGGGGGCTCAGGAGGTGTCTGGGGGGACACATCAGTGCTGGAGGGGGCTTGGGGGCCACAAAGTGCCCTGGGGGATACATCAGTGCTGGTGGGGGCCCAGGGGGTCTGGGGAGGATTTGGGGGCACAAAGTGCTCCTGGAGGGACACATCAGTGCTGGGGGTCAGGGGCTCTGGGGGTGTTTGGGCATCTGGGGGCACAAAGTGCTCCTGGGGGACACATCAGTGACAGGGGGGTCTGGGGGGCACAAAGTGCTCCTGGGGGACACATCAGTGACAGGGTGGGTTTGGGGGCACAAAGTGCTCCTGGAGGACAAATCAGTGCTAGGGGGTCGGGGGCTCTGTGGGGGTAGGTTTGGGGCATCTGGGGGGCACAAAGTGCTCCTGGAGGGGACACATCAGTGAGGGGGAGTTTGGGGGTACAAAGGACTCTGGAGGGAATACATCAGTGCTGGGGGTCAAGGGGCATCTGGGGGTGTTTGGGGCATCTGGGGGCACAAAGTGCTCCTGGGGGCTTTCTGGGCCTTCTGGAGACATCTGGGGGCTTGGGGAGAATTGAGGGGTCCTTGGGAGGGGGCTCTGGGGTCTCGGGGGCACAGGCTCAGGGAGCCCCTGGGGGTCCTGTGGAAGAGGGGGTTCCTGCCCCCCCCCATTACTGTGTGTGTCCCCCCAGGTCGGTGGTCGTGGGCAGCGCTGGGGACGTGACCGTCATCGACCTGCGCAAAGGTGAGGGGGTCTGGGGGTCCCTACCCCCAAATAAAGGGGTCTGAGCCTCTCCCCAACTCCTCTGACCTCCCTCTGCCCCCAGGGCGGGTGCTGCGGGCACTGAAGGGCTTTGCCGGGGGTGCGGGGGCTGCAGTGCCACCCCACCTGCCCTCTGCCGCCTCCTGCGGCCTCGACCGCCTCCTCAGGGTCCACAGCTCGAGGATGGGGGCTGCGGCACAAGGTGGGACCCCAAACCCCCTAAACCCTGAGACCCCCCCAATCCCCTAAACCCTGAGACCCCCCAAACCCCAACAGCCTGCAGGACGGGGGCTGCGGCACAAGGTGGGACCCCAAACCCCCCTCAAATCCCCAACCCCTAAACTCCTGAGACCTCCCAAACCCCACAGCCTTGGGGATGGGGGCTCTGGCTTAAGGTGGGACCCCAAGCCCCCGAACCCTGAGACACCCCCAAAATTACCCTAAACCCTGAGACACCCCTAAAACCTGAGAACCCTCCCAGACCCACAGCCTCGAGGACGGGGGCTGCGGCACAAGGTGGGACCCCAAACCCCCTGGGACCCCCAAACCCCTCTCAAATCCCCAACCCCTCCTAAACCCTGAGACCCCCCCAAACCCCACAGCCTCCAGGACGGGGCTGTGGCTGGTGGGACTCAAGCCCCCTGGGACCCCCAACCCCGCTAAACCCCTGAGACCCCCAAACCCCACAGCCTCGAGGACGGGGGCTGCGGCATAGGTAGGACCCTCAAACCCCCCTGGGACACCCAAACCCCCACAGCCTCGAGGACGGGGGGCTGCGGCACAAGGTGGGACCCCCAAACCCCCTGGGACCCCAAAACCCCCTCAAATCCCCAACCTCCCCTAAACCCTGAGACACCTTCAAACTCCGCCCCGGGACCCCCAAACCCCCCAAACCCCATGACCTCGAGGAGGGGGCTGCGGCACAAGGTGGGACCCCAGACTCCCTCAAATCCCCAACCCCCCCCAAACCCCTGAGACACCCCCAAAATTATCCTAAACCCTGAGACCCCCTAAACCCTGATATCCCCCCCAAACCCCACAGCCTCCAGGACGGGGCTGCGTGCACAAGGTGGGAGCCCCAAACCCCCTGAACCCTGAGACACCCCCAAAATTACCCTAAACCCTGAAACACCCCCCAAATCCCCCCCAAACCTCTGAAACTCCCCTAAATCCCCAAGACCCCCTAAAACACCCCCCAAAACCCCTGAGACCCCCCAAACCCCTGAAACCACCCTAAAACCTCTGAGACCTCCCCAAACACCCCTAAACCCTGAGACCCCCCCAAATTTGCCCCCAAACCTCTGAAACTCCCCCTAAATCCACAAGACCTCCCAAACCCCTGAGACCCCCAAAACCCTGAAACCACCCTAAAACCTCTGAGACCCCCCATTTCCCCCTAAATCCCTCGAGACCCCCCAAAATCCCCCTGAGCCCCTTTTTCCCCTCCCCCCAGGTGTACCTGAAGTCGCACCTCACCTGCCTCCCTGCTCAACACACACCTGGACTGGCAGGTGAGAGACCCCCTCGGATTTTGGGGGATTTGAGGGGCTGGGGGTGTCCCTCCCAACCCTTTGACGCCCTCTTTTTTTGTTTGTGTCCCCCCAGGCTGAGGAGGAGCCCTCCCCAAACGGAGGTGAAGGAGGAGGAGGGGGACGAGCTTTGGGACACCCTGGAGCCCATCCTCTCCTTCGGGGCAAGAAAAGGAAGAGTTCAGGCTTTGAGACCCTCTCAAAATCCAAACACCCCTCAAACCTCCACTTGTCCCCTTGCTGTAAATAATGATTCATTTTTACTCTGTTGACTCGTAAATGTGATTTTTTAGAGGGAAATTGGGAATTGGGGAGGGGGGTAACCCGGGAATTTGGGGGGGGGGTCCCAGGAATTTGGGGGATCCCAGGAATTTGGGGGATCCCAGGAATTTGAGGGTAGTCCCAGGATTTTTGGGGGGTCCCAGGATTTTGGGGGAGATCCCAGGATTTTGGGGGGGGTCCCAGGAATTTGGGAGTGCCCTGGAATTTGGGAGGGGGACAGGAATTTGGGGGAGGTCCCAGGATTTTGGGGGGGGTCCCAGGATATTGGGATGTCCCAGGAATTTGGGGGATCCCAGAAATTTTGGGGGAGATCCCAGGATTTGGGGGTAACCCAGGAATTTGAGGGGAGGGTCCCAGGAATTTGGGGGAGGGTCCCAGGAATTTGGGGGTGTCCTAGGAATTTGGGGGTCCCAGGAATTTGGGAGTGCCCCTGAATTTGGGGGAGGGTCCCAGGAATTTGGGGGAGGTCCCTAGGAATTTGGGGGTCCCAGGATTTGGAGGGGGTTCAAGGAATTTAGGGGGTCCCAGGAATTGAGGGGGGGAGGGTCCATGAATGTGGGAGGATCTCAGGAATTTTGGGGGATCCCAGGAATTCGGGGGGGGGTCCCTGGATTCTGGGGGGGTCTCGGGGTCCGAGACTGACAGGCCACGCCCCTCGAACAACCAAACTCCCGCCCCTGTCGCACAAAGCCACGCCCCCTAAACGCTAAACCCCGCCCACCGAGCGCTGTGGCCACGCCCCCACCCCCTCCCCGCGCACGCGCGGTGAGTCCCGACGGTGACGCGGTGGGTGAGTCCCGGACTGGTCCCAGTTACCCCCCCAAACTGGTCCCAGTGACCCCCGGACTGGCCCCGGTCCCTCCTCCCCGCTCCTAAACTGGTCCCAGTGACCCCCCCAAACTGGTCCCAGTGACCCCCGGACTGATCCCAGTCCCTCCTCCCCGTCCCCAAACTGGTCCCAGTGACCCCCAGATTGGTCCCAGTAAGCCCTTACTGGTCCCAGTGATCCCGCAGCGCTTCCAGCATGTCCTGCTGGTCCCGGCTCCGCGCTGGTCCCGGCGACCCCCAACACCCTCCCAGTAACCCCCAGTACCCTCCCAGTACAAACCTCTGCACCCTCCCAGTACAAACCTCTGCACCCTCCCACTAACCCCTAGTAGTCCCCAGTAGCCCCCAGCAGTCCCCAGTAGCCCCCAGCAGTCCCCAGTAGCCCCCAGCACCCTCCCAGTACAAACCTCTGTACCTTCCCAGTAACCCCCAGTAGTCCCCAGTAGCCCCCAGCACCCTCCCAGTGGCCCCAAACTCCCCACCCTCTCCCAGTAACCCCCAGCATCCCCTGTACCCCCTCCCAGTGTCCCCAGCCCCCTCCCAGTGCCCCCAGTTCCCTTCCAGTCCCCTCCCAGATCTCTCCCAGTGCCCCCAGCATCCCCTATACCCCCTTCCAGTGCCCCCAACCCCCTCCCAGTGCCCCCAGCATCCCTTCTGTACCCCCTCCCAGTGCCCCCAGCCCCCTCCCAGTGTCCCCAGTTCCCTTCCAGTCCCTCCCAGATCTCTCCCAGTGCCGCCCAGCATCCCCTATACCCCCTTCCCAGTGCCCCCAGCGCCCCCAGCCCCCTCCCAGTGCCCCCAGCACCCCCTGTACCCCCTCCCAGTGTCCCCAGCCCCTCCCAGTGCCCCCAGTTCCCTTCCAGTCCCTCCTAGATCTCTCTCAGTGCCCCCAGCATCCCCAGCACCCCCATCCCAGTGGCCCCAGACTCCCCACCCTCTCCCAGTGCCCCCAGCATCCCCTGTACCCCCTCCCAGTGTCCCCAGCCCCTCCCAGTGCCCCCAGTTCCCTTCCAGTCCCTCCCAGATCTCTCCCAGTGCCCCCAGCATCCCCTATACCCCTTCCCAGTGCCCCCAGCGCCCCAGCCCCCTCCCAGTGCCCCCAGCATCCCCTGTACTCCCCTCCCAGTGTCCCCAGTTCCCTTCCAGTCCTTCCCAGATCTCCCAGTGCCCCCAGCATCCCCAGCACCCCCATCCCAGTGCCCCCAGCCCCCTCCCAGTGCCCCCAGCATCCTCTGTACCCCCACTCCCAGTGCCCCAGCCCTCCCAGTGCCCCCCCAGCATCCTCTGTACCCCACTCCCAGTGCCCCCAGTCCTCCCAGTCCCCTCCCAGTCCCTCCCACTGCCCCTGATGGGCCGGGGGCGTCTCCTGGGGGCTGCGCGTGGCTGCTGGGGCTGGCCCTGCTGCAGACCCTCTACCTGCGGGCTCTGCCTCCCCGCGACCCCCACGGCGGCCGCCCCCGCCCCCACGCCCCGCGACCCCGCGTGGGTCCTGGACGCGTCGGGCCTGTTCCGCGTGTACCGGGACGTGCTGGGCCCCCCGCGTGGGACCCCCGAGCTGGTCCTGGCCACCCACGGCACTCCGAGCCGGGCGGCGGCGGCGCTGGGGGGGTCGTGGGGTCCCTCTCGGTGGCCGTTTTTGGGGTTCCCGGGGGTTGGAGGAGCTGCTGGCGGTTTTGGGGGAGCCACTGCCGGGGCTGCGGGGTCGCCTCAGGCTGCACGTGGTGACGGGGGCGGCGTCGCCTCCCCATCGCGACCCTCCCCTCCAGGGCCGGCCCCCAAAAGCGGGGGGTGTCGGGGGGCTCTGAGCGCCTGGAGAGCAGCGACCCCCAGCTACGCCTCTGGGGTGCCGTACCCGGGAATCTCCTCCGAAACGTGGCCTGGGAGGGGCGGCCGGCGGGAAATGGGGGGAGGGGGCACAGGGGACCCCAAATTTTTGGGGGTCGTTTCGTGCTGCTGGTGGACGCCGACGTGGTGCCCAGCCCGGGGCTGAGAGAGGGTCCTGCAGCTGCTCAGGAGGGGGGCTGGACCCCAAAAGTTGGGGACCCCGGCCAAGGGGGTGGGGGTTGGGGTACCCTGGCTGGGGGTTGCAGGGTTTGGGGGCCCCGGTGCCTTGGAGGGTCCAGGGGGAGCCCAAAGCTTTGGGGGGTCAGGAGGGTTTTGGGGTGCAGGGAGGTTTGGGGGACCCCAAAGCTTTGGGAGTTCAGGAGGGTTTTGGGGTGCAGGGGGGTTTGGGGGACCCCAAAGCTTTGGGGGTTCAAGAAGGTTTGGGGGTTCAGGGGGATTTGGGGGACCCCAAAGTTCTGGGTGACCCCAAAGTCCCCAACACCCTGGAGGTCCCTGCTGTCCCAGGGGACCCCAAAGTCCTGAAGGACCCCAAAGCTTTGGCAGACCCCAAGGGCTCCTCCACCCCGGGGGTCCCCAATGCCCTGGGGGACCCCAAAGTCCTGACAAACCCTGATGTCCCAAAGGACTCCGGAGACCTGGAGGCCCCCAGGGACCCCAACTCCCTGAGGGACCCCAACTCCCTGAGGGACCCCAGCACCCTGAGGGACCCCAACTCTCTGAGAGACCCCAATGCCTTGAGAGACCCCAACACCCTGGAGGTCCCCAAATCCCTGAGGGACCACAATGCCTTGAGGGACCCCAACTCCCTGAGGGACCCCAACTCCCTGAGGGACCCCAATGCCTTGAGGGACCCCAACACCCTGAGGGACCCCAAAGGCTTCCATGACCTCGGTGTCCCCAAATCCCTGAGGGACCCCAGTGCCTTGAGGGACCCCAACTCTCTGAGAGACCCCAATGCCTTGAGGGACCCCAACACCCTGGAGGTCCCCAAATCCCTGAGGGACCCCAACTCTCTGAGAGACCCCAAAGGCTTCCATGACCTGGGTGTCCCCAACTCCCTGAGGGACCCCAATACCCTGAGGGACCCCAGTGCCTTGAGGGACCCCAACACCCTGAGGGTCCCCAACACCCTGGAGGTCCCCAAATCCCTGAGGGACCCCAACACCCTGAGGGACCCCAACACCCTGGAGGTCCCCAACTCCCTGAGGGACCCCAATACCCTGAGGGACCCCAAAACCCCGAGAGACCCCAACACCCTGAGAGACCCCAAATCCCTGAGGGACCCCAACACCCTGAGAGACCCCAACTCCCTGAGGGACCCCAACACCCCGAGAGACCCCAACACCCCGAGAGACCCCAACACTCTGGAGGTCCCCAAATCCCTGAGGGACCCCAACACCTCGAGAGACCCCAACACCTCGAGGGACCCCAACACTCCTGAGAGACCCCAACTCCCTGAGACCCCAGCACCCTGAGAGACCCCACCACCCCGAGAGACCCCCCTCCCGGAGGACCCCGACGCCCGGGTGGTCTTGCCCTCCCCGCCTTCGAGGTTCGGTCCGGGAGGGGGGTCCCGGCCTCGAAGGCGGCTCTGCTGGGCCTGTGGGCCAAGGGGGCAGCCCGGCCGTTCTACGGGACGCTGTGCCCCCGCTGCCAGGCCCCACCGACTCCGGGCGCTGGCGGGCGCTGCCCCCGCCCCGGCCGCGCGTGGCCTACGAGGTGCCCTGGAGGGACCCCTGGGAGCCCTTTACGTGGCCCCCGCCCGGGGTCCCCTCTCGACGAGAGGTTCCTCCAGTACGGCTTCAACCGCATCAGCCAGGTGGGGGTGGGGCCTTGGGGGTCTTCACGGGGGTGGTTCTGGGGTTGGGGGCACCTTGGGGTGGCCTTGGGGTGTTGGGGTGGCCTTGGTGGTCTTGAGGTGACTATGGGGTGGTCGTGGGGGTTGGGGTGGCCTTGGTGGTCTTGAGGTGGCCATGGGGTGGTCGTGGGGGTTGGGGTGGCCTTGGGGGTCTTGAGGTGGCCATGGGGTGGTCGTGGGGTTTGGGGGACCTTGGGTTGGCCTTGGTGGTCTTGGGGTGGTCATGGGGTGGCCTTGGTGGTCATGGGGTGGCCATGGGGTGGTCGTG